GCAAAAAGCGCTTTTTTGGTGAAAGGTGACAAAGTCGTGTGAGTGCAGGTGAGAGTCATGTGTTAGTTCATCTGCTTTCTCCTCTATATGCCGTCATCGTAAACATTCCCCTTCTATCCATGACTCATGAAAATTCGTCACTTTCCAGTACGGCTCATTACGAAGATAGAGACCAGACAGGATCTGCTTTTCTTCATTGTCAAAAAAATAAATCAAGTGGACGGTGCTAAGGCTGGAAATGAGGTTGCAGGTGATTGCGCAACGCTAGGAAATAAGGCAGCGTTCAGACTTCGCGAAGCCTCGGTCGCGCATCCGATCGATGAGCCTGCTTTCGACTGCATTGATCGTTGGATTAGTGGGTTGGAAGAAGTCCGCAACATTTGGAAGGCAATTTTGAATACAATTATTCCTACACTGATAGAGATTATCAAAGCGAAAAAGAAAATTACCATGGGTACCTGGGGCAAGTGACTATGTGGTGGGCAGCTCCTCGTTTCTGTTCTCCTGGGATTCCGGCTGAATTCGATAGAAAGAATATCTCCATTTCATTCGCGAGCTGAACTTCAGTTGCCAATTTCTTGTTTTTCAAAAGAAAAATTCGAACTGTCAGAAAGTGGTAGTCAGGGATTACTAGGGCTAGTGACTTAGCTGAGTATGGTCACACTTTTCCACCAAGACCCAAAACTTTTCCATGAGCAATCTTCGTCACGTGTGGAAGCTGGTTATCGTGGAGTAGGAAGATATTCGGTCTCTTTGGGCGAAGTTCACATGCGACATTTTGCATTCAATTAGAGCTAGTCGTCACTGCTGCACTAGGATTCACGAGCCCCTTTTCCCAGTTTTACCAGCTGCACTTTGAGAGCTTTTCTCCGTGCACATCTTCTTTCACCACTGCATACTGCTTTTTGCCTTGAGAAATCCAATCGAGCTTGTGTGATGCTAGAAGCCCAGTTCGTTACCACCCACGAAGTGCTTGCCACGAAGTTCCTACATAAGTTTTTCGTTTGTGCAGGGTGAGAAAATGAATAAATATTACAGAGACGGGTACCACTTATGAGATGCCCATTCCCTGATGACCGAGACCGTGGGTAAACTGTGGATAGAATTCAGCCTAAACCTGGGATCAACTCACGGGTGGTTGCGTAGGGCTATGCGTCCTGGCCATTGATTCTTCTGCACCGACTGCAGGACATTCTTGCGAACCTGATAGTTTCAATTAGGCTACTGTTGTCCACCAATTCCGAGGTGCAGTTGTGGCAGTCATCCCTAAAAGTGCAACCGATCGGCACCAAAATGAGGGATATAAACTGGCGTGGTCACCATGAGGGCAGCACAGTAACTCTTCGTTTGCTCTCCAAATAGGCCTTCACTCATTTACTCTCCAAATAGTCATTCACTTTTAGCGAAGTTGGAGTAATATTCGCCTCATAGCCTTTTTCTGACTCTTTGAACTCTGTAAAATTTACAAACAACTATTAAGTTTATTTTCAGAATGAAGACAGCCCTTATTGTGTTTTTCTTTGCTACTGTGATGGCATATCGTCCTGGTAGGATGGCCACCACACCACCACCATCACCACCACGGACCTCCACCGCCACCATATCTGAAAAACCTTTCCCGAGAAGCTGTAGAGGAGTATTTCAAAATCATGCACAACAAGAACTCAACGATCGCCCAACAAAAGACGGAGGTCATGGAATGGGCAAAGAAAAATGGGATACAGGTAAGTGGAGCCGAGAAAAAAATCAAACTGCTCACTCTATCGAGTTTAGCGGCCTCCAATAGACATTCTAGGAGCAAGTGGAGAAGTTCAACAAGAAAATGGACGAGCACATGAAAGAAGTGAAGAAGAATGTTACCGAGCTAATTGATTACTTACCTACAGCTTTCAAAGAGTTTTCCGCGATAATGGAAGACGAAACGCTAACTCGACAGGAACAAAAGCAGAAGAGAAGGGAACTGACCGCGAAGAATCCTAAGGTGAGAAGGCCTATGAATGGTTAACTTAGGTTTTGGATCAATGTCTATCTTATTCGCCAAACCTTTCGTGTACACTTTCACAGGCATTCCAAGTGCTGAAGTTTATATTCGGGCAATTCATGCCACATGGTCCGCATGGTCCGCGTGGCCCACATGGTCCATTTGGTCCACATGGTGGACCTGGAGGACGTGGTGGACGTGGACCTTTCGGTGGATTTGGAGGACCTGGTGGACCTTTTGATGGACCTGGTGGGCGCTTTGGAGGACGTGGTGGACCTTTTGGCGGAACTGGTGGACCTTTTGCCGGAGGACCGAATGGTCGACCAGGTTTCGGAAATGGCGACAACTGGAACAGCAGACCAGGTCAACACGGTTTCGGTAATGGCGGCAACTGGAACAACGGAGCGACCGATCGAAAAGGTTTGATATGGAGCTTTCACCAGAAAATTCTAGTTGACAATGGGATAATTTACTTCCAGATTTTCGAGAATGATCAAAGATACAATGCAGAGTTCTATGCGGTTTTTTTGAGAAACCTTCATTGTAATTATACTGTTTTTCTCTGTTATACGCTGCTCTGTAAAAACATAAACCTGAAAGAACTAATGTTGCTAGTCGTCAATATCTGGAGACTACTCCATATAGAGGGGTCACACACAGTCTCGTTCGCTGCGGACGATGGGGCGTGTCAGTGAGTTTCGGTTTGGCCCGTCGCGAGTGCATTCTTCAACAGCTGTTAAAGCGGTAAAGCGACAGCAGTTGGGAGGTGGAAAACGACTGATACGAACGATATGAAGCAGCGGGGAAAAGGAAAAAACCGGCTAGCAACGCGCTAAACCCGTCCCCTTTGACACGCCCCATCATCCCGCGGCGAACTAGGATGTACTCGATTTTACTTGATGATCCCTGTTTCCTTTAAGCGACAACCGTCACTGCGCTCATCAGCCTTTTATCCTCCCCTCCCCACCCCCACAAACAAAAGTTCCAACCTGCAAGGAAGGCGTGTTCACATTTCACGCGAAACGCATTCTATGCCATGATCAAGGTCAAGTACGCAGCCACGCCCTCCCCATTCTCGGGATATAGTGTATAAACGCACTACAGTGTTTAATTTATTCATTTCAATGCACTAACATATTACGAAACCAGTTCATTAAAAATACAAGCAGTCTTCAACTTCATAGTTTCGTTTTGGTGCTTGCTTCTATACCCATTATAAAAGTGACACGAAATTACTGTTACTATGAATACAACTGGATGAGATAACAGCGTCACAACACGCTTAGCGATCATAACGAATAGCAAAATACGAAGATGAAAAACTGAGGTAGAAATGTAAACGCTCAAGGGTGTATTGATTGGTCCGGATGGAGCAACCGCATCGCGACCGCGCACGGCCGAGGCATCCCTCGCCGTCCTGTCTACTCAGAAGAAAAGTGTATGTGAAGTCAGATTCCAAAGTTCCAAGGGATAAGTAATTGAAAGTAGAATTTAATAGTGCGTCTAGTATTAAGCGCTACGCATTTCGGAGGTAGAATCAGGCGGCTGTGAAGCCAAGACGTCGTAGACAGCATTCTGCATACGCATGTAGTTACCAGATATCAAATAGCACCCGCTTTCAGTCCGTTTGTCACGTAAAGGGCAAAGGGTGCAACGTTTGTGGCTTTCTATCGAATATCACTTGCTGACATCCATGTCCAGAATGACCGATCATCAGATGCTTCTGCAAATCACATTTATTGATGTCTCTTTCCTTCTGGGTCTTTGAACATGTCTATTTATTTTCTGCGGAAACATTCATTTACAGGCACTGTTCGGCGACGGGGTGCATGTTGTACCTTCACTGCTTTATTAGTTCCGGCTCACAAGTTTCGCTCTGGTGTAACCTATGAACTCTTGTGAAGCTGGAGCAAGCTCGCCTAGCCACCATGTGGAACCCGTAAACTCTGTCTTGCTCCTGAAAGACCTTCGTCGGCGAAGTGCGCCCATTTTACATCTACCGCTGTAGAGATTACGGCGCGGTTCGGTAAAAGCAACTCAGAAAATACTCAGAAAATCTTGTACAGGCCTTGAAAAGATCTGCAAATCCCTGTGCTCCATGACCCTTTTGAACCAGTTCGCAGCTTTATTAGAGTTTACAGATCCCACCAGAGAGAGCACGAGCGAACCAAACATGAACTATCTAAGGAAAAGTTGAAAGTGCAGAATGCCCTATCCTGAGCCGAAAAGCTCCTAGTTACAATTGAAATTCTCCATAACCTCAGTTTTTTTTGAAAGATACTCTGTGTTACGCAACAGACGGTAATTTTGTCATGGTCCTGCCGCGAAAAGGGAGTGCTAGGGAGGTCGCAGGTTGAGAACCTCCAGCGAGGGGTCCTGGTCGAAGGGGAAGAGGGGGTGAGGTAAGAGAGGTCGTACCTACCTTTGGAAAGGAATTTCGGTTGTTGACTCTCCTGACTTTGTCGTTTAATGTGCGCTATTTGCCCTCCCCCCCCCCTCCCACCCGCAGCTCCGCACTTCCTCCCCTTCCTCCAAAAATGCCTCTGCTTTGTAGGGAAGAAAGTGAAGGAATTTTGGCAAAAAAAAACAGCGGAAAATGGCAAGAGGAAAGTTCAGGGAGATGGTAGGTAGGATGGGGTGAGGGAAATTGTACTATAGAAACAATTTCGATAAGGGGGGGGGCGCATTTTGCGAAAACTTCTTCAACGGCGGGAGGTGCGGACAGAAAAAGGACAGCAGCTGCCACAGCATCTGAAGGTGTGAAAGGACATATTTTGAATATGAGGGAGGATGAGCTTTTTCAAGAAAGAAGTCAGGGATAGAGAGGGGAAGAGAACAGCGGAACAGTGGTGAGGACTAAAGACGGTGTAAGATTGCCAGGTGGGCGGAGCTACGAGGGCACGACGTCATTGACGCGTTCCGTCCTCTTCATCGTCCTGGGAGGCGGGAAGGATGGGCTGTCAATGACCTTGTGCCCTGGCCCCGCCCATTTGGGAATTCTGGAATTTGGGTGTCTTTTTACAATTGGGCACTCCTGAACACCGAAGCCTTGATATTTAGTCTAGCGATGAAAATTGCAATATATACAAAAATCTAAGGTTCATCGACTCACATCAGAATCCTTCAAAGGAGCGTAAAAGAAGCCATGTCCTTTAACCGTGTTGACATTCAGTATGTAGTCCGTTTCGTTCAGCACCGGCCTTTCAAGATATTCAAGAGTTCTTTCGCTTACTAGGCGCCCATTGACAAGCTGAAAACACCGATGTACTTGGAGCGTCAGCAAGTGCAAAGATGAGCAGTTTTCGGGGAGCCCTTATGACGCACGGCGCTTACTCTAGAGTCCTTATCCCCGCAAACGAAAGGGCGTATGAGAGGGCGTGGGTTGGAATGCAGCAAAGGTGGCTTTCCACCATGATGAATCGACAAGCCCGCGACACATTGGTGTGAAACGTTGCACCAACTGCGCTCCAATCCACGCCTTTTCGAAAAGAAGATGAAGAACGTGTGTACGTAAAACCAACCAGACTAAATATAGAAGCTAGTGAACGAGCGTTTCCGATGCCAAGTGCAGCCGCTTGCTCCATTGCATGCTGTTCAGGATCATTCGCAGTGCATTTGTGGCCACGTCAACGCGAAGGGTTTGCCATCTCGCTCCTTTGCTAGAACAGGAACGTTCTGAATGAGTGTTTTGAGACGCGCGATGTACTGGTTATAACAAATGAATCTAAATTAACGTCGCATTATTGATTAGTTCTGGAAGCCCCGCATTTTATCAAAATAAGTATAGCTTTCCAAACGCGAACTTTAGCACCATAATCCCTTGCAAGCCAGTCGGCTAAAGTGTATCGCACTCGCTCAGCCCTTCTTCAGAAATTAAGGCCGAGTACATTGCACTATGTTTACCCCATATATCAGCGATGGAGTAGGCGTGGCCGCGCACTCCATCTGAAGGCGCCCGCTGCGTTATTTGTGAGAAACTCTGTCTGAGACAGTTGTCATTTGGCAAAGACATGGGAATAGAGGTCAAACGGTAATATTCCCCGAAAGGAGGCTGCCCACCACTTTCAAACGAATGCGCCGACCCTCTCCATACTGGAGGTGGAAGTGTATTACTGTGGCGCTTGAATTCGCCCCATAACGAGCATACAGTCCTAAAACCCACTCCGAAGTTCGGCTCAAATCTGCACTTTGTCACTTATGGCTTAGATACTAAATTGATGCTCCTCCGGTGGATCCTGGTAGTTGACATGTGAGAAGTGAAAGGGCGCGCAGATGCAGCTGCGTGCTCCTCATCAACACAAAAGTATGGGAACGGGGCTAGAGGGTGCTTTGGACTCCGGCCGCCCGCCGCAGGGTCACACAGCCTAGCCCTATCCAAACTCGCTACTGGTCTGCGCCCTATCCACTTCTGACTGCTCTCTATCTCTGGCTGCGGGCTTTGGCATCGACGCAAGCGCTGCACATTGAGGATAGCGCCGATGAAGTATGGATGACACGGCACCCGGGTATCACTGCCCTCTAACCCCCCTCCGGACTCTCTCACTTTCCACATGGGAATGATATTCCTCGGAAAAGAGTGTCATTTTGTCATGAGAGAACTTATTTCTCTATAATAACCCATCCTAAAGGCGCCCATAACAGCATCTGACCATTTTGCAGAATAGCACACACATAATTCCCTAAGTTACCTTGTCAGCGCCTAAGAAGTTGATGAGCTGATGAGTAACTCGATAGTCGTACCAGATTTGGTCGATTACTTCCATGACTGTAGGTAGAGTAGCTCGAGCCACTCGATGCTCCTCAGATGAGTTCAAACCAATGTGGAAATCAATTCCTAAAGCGAAACTATGACATACAATGCAAAGGATGGGGCTGGAGCAACAGCAAAAGGGGTCACGTAGCACTTCTGCGGACCTCGCGCTCAGGACAATCAGACTTTTCCCTGACTCCGGTCGTTCTAGTTTCGCTTACCATGGACAAGCTTTTCAAACAGTTGAGACAATTCACTTCAACTTCACCTAACCATCACAGATCATTGCCCACGTGGAACATTCTGCCCGCTTCTAATTCTCAAGGGCAGTTGAGCACATGGCGCATCCCAGAGGTGCGTATCAACGTCTGCTAGATTACTTTTTTCTTCATTGAATGCGGTGTTACCTCAACTCGAATAAGACTCAAACCCGCTGGGTTATAAAGACAGAAGTGTCACTCAATTACAATCATTATCCCTGCGAACGATAGGGCGTGCGACCGGGTGTTGATTGGAGTGCTGCTGAGGAGCCCTTCCCCAGTAATGGCGCCACGAGCCCGGCACAGTTGGTGGAGAGGGTCGCCATGACTGCGGTCCAACCCTCTCGCCACCACACGCCCTATCATTTGCAGGTACAACGACTACACTTTGATCGCACTGCGTTACTGGATGGTCAGAAAGTCCGGTTGATTGACTCTGCCGAAGTAGAAAATCGGAGAATGCGTGGAAAGAGCCTGATTCGTATTGATCTTATGGTCGAAAAAATCAGAAATCCGATAAAATACTGAGCGCAGAAACTTTTCTATCAGCACTGCCAGTGCATTTCTTCCATCCCCTGCTTGAGAGGTGTCGAAAAAATCAAGTCGCACCCAACCCTTTTTGGGGAATCACCAATTCTCTCCGCTGTATAAACGTTTCGGGATGCGCCGCGCACCCAACAAGCCCAACTCCATCTGGAGCACGCATGACAAGGTTTCTTTAGGCCAAAGCGTCCTGAAGAACTTTACTTTTCTGGTTATAAAACGACTGGGAAAATGCAGTTCCTCACCATGCGGCTTGGCTATTTCTTCTCTGAAGTATTGTCCCACTCCTCGATGTTTTTCATCTGTATGCCGTACAATCTGATCGGCTAGCCATCCATAGGTAAGCAGATGATATCCGCTGCTTCGTCCAGCTGGTAGCTTCGGTGTTTCACTCTCTATTGCCTTCCTCATCAGGTTATGATCCCTTGCCATTTCCTCAGTGATGGGCGTATCGAAATACGGTAGACCTGCCTAAATGAAAATTGACTGATTACGCAGATAAAGAAAATGTGAAGGGAGTGTCTGAAAGTCAGAGAGTCTTACAAAGTCCATAAGGAGGACGACAGACTCACGTTTCCAGCTCAACGTTCGTCAGATGGGAGGTGTGGATCCAGCATCTTCTAAGGGAACTCTCTTGGAACTCTTCTGCTCAACATGTATGTTAGTAGAAGGGTTTACGGGTGGTCGTGGGTCTTGGGGCAAATAGATGCGCCATGGGTGGGCACTGGTTACAAATGATGTCACGAGAAAAACTTGAAAGGGGTAGGGAAGCTGTGGAGGGCCTTCCGGAGAAAAAAAGCCGCCACACCCCACCTAGTACGTTACACGCTCTAAGCTAACAAATAAACCTTGAACAGAGATCGACTAACATGGCACGAGAATACGCAAGACAAGCAGGCTCAGCTCTCGCTGCTCGGAGGCTGCTTCTCCGCCCCCGCGGCTGCTGGGTCCGTCCCCACATCGGAATGAACGTGACGTCGAGGGAAACTTGTTTCTCGATACGACTCCACCCTGCCTTCCCCCTCCTCTTCCCTCGAACCCGTCGCGTAGCGGCACCTGTAACGGAGAAAATCAATAAGCGAAAAATTTCTCATCAGAGCTAATGTGCCCCCTCCCGTCTCACGTACGCATGAACCGTCCCCAACTACCTTTAACCCAGCTAGTTGTTGTTCAACAGCTTCGCTTTCATAGCGACTGGCGCGCAAGCCATCGATGGTACAAGAATACAGTGACAAAGACATATAAGATGTGCTAGAATCAACGCACCATATGCGACAAAGCCCATTCGATGGTGATGTTCTCTTTGCCGTTCTTTGCAAATCCAGGCCAGTACTTCGAGATGGGATCTTCATACTTCAGGCGTCCTCGGTCGGCAAGCATTGCTATGCACACGGCTGCAACTGCCTTGGTTGTTGAGAACGCTACCGAGAGCGTGTCCTGAAAAGCAAACCTGAAAGGTGGACACCACCAATGCAGAGAAACTGTCCCACCTCTTTCCATATGCGAGCTGCTTGCTTGTCAGCGTACCCGCCCCAAATGTCCACTACCTTTTGTCCTTTCACGAACACGGCAAACGATGCTCCCTCGGCTTCCCAGCCATCGAGGAAGTTCTGCCTGAAAAAGACGAGTTAATGATTGCTTATGATTGCTGTTTTTTCGATGCTTCACTAAAGAACGTACTCAAACGCTTTTTGTATGCTCTCATATCCTTTCTCCACGTGTCCGTCGAAATGTAGAGGAAGTTTTGTGTGAAGCTTGTCAGCTATGAAATGAGCCAGCAACGCAAAGCCGCCCACAAAGAGGCCTACCCGCAAGAGACCCATTCAACCTGGAACAAGAGAATATGCTATCAATCACTCACGAAATTTCCTAACCGCGAACGTATTATAGAAGAGGACTACATGCCACAGTGGCTCACTGGGGAAGGGGAATGGGGTGGTAATGGGCACAGATATTGCGTGTAAGGCGGCTAAGACATGAGGCACACTACCTTTGAGGAATTCATAACGAGGGGGTCCTACTTAACTTGCAAAAGAACACAGTTTGTTTGCTGGAAGAAGACTGTGCAAAGTGGTACAAAAATTGGGGAAGAATCGGAAGTTTTACCGCCCGCACGACGGCATCTTGCTTGAGTAATCAAAAATGATGAGGTTTAGTGGTCTGCTTGCTAGTAAAGGGGAGGAGGAATCTTACTGAAGAACAACTTGTGGAGTTACACCAGGAGAATGTGGGGCAGGGTAATACAGCCCTGACGTAGTTCGAGTTTCGGATCTTATCGCACCCAATCTAGGCAAACATTTCGTTCTCCTGGTCGGTTCGTTGGGACCAAACATCCGTGAAATAAAGTTATGGCTATGCTGTAAGATGTATTCCGTAATTATTGGGTAACCTTCTACTCAAAAACCAGTTGGAATCTAAATGTGAGCAGAGTTCGTGGCGTATCCCATAAAAGATCAAAACACGGTTTATTTTTGTTCATCACCGCATCAATCAGTAAAAATAAAAGTACTAAAGGCACATTTTTTGATAGAAAGACGTGAGAGGTAAATTTTAAGGTGCTTTTCAGGAGCTAAATGACCCGAAATAAAGAAACAAGCAAGAGAAACCGATGAAAACTCCCTGACAAGATTTGTGAGATTTGTACGAGTTGTACAGTTTTTGGACGGGTTCTCCGGACATTCTGGCTACATATCGAAAGTGCCAAGTGAACGGCAGTAATAAAAAACGACAAGGCACGGACACGAACAATCCACGTAAAGTCACAATACAGCTTTTGGAGGCTAGCCTACTAGCGATACCCACTAATCAGTTGCGACACACCGCCTTATCAGTTCTTTTACGGAACGCAAAGATTTCCTTGCACGAGTATGCCTTTCGCACATCTTCCAGAATGAGAATATCAACTGGAGCATGAATACTAAATTTTGAAAGAATCTCAAAAATATTTAGTTTAATTTGAAAGTAGTTCATGGATTTTGTAGTATCATGGAGCGTCAAAAGAGATCCAGAAGGAAAAACGGAAAAAATAGAAAAGCCCATGCCCAGGAATCTGTTTTTTTTTTTATCTTTGTGTAGAGGCGATACACGGTTTTGACGAGAGATCCGCGCAATCGTTAATGTGTCTTCATTAAATTATACTCTACTGAACTTAATTTGATGTGGCAGTAAAAATCAATACAGTATGACTGCATAACAATAAGAATAAAGATCAGCACGATCATGTCTACCTGAAACTTTGTTCTCTTCTTAGTTCTCAACCTTTCAAAGGCGACTTAATTCGATTACTTGTTTGCTTATACGCAGACACTCCGCGTCCACAAACAACAAAAGAGCTAGGAACAAAAAACAAGGAGATAGAAAATACAACATACCAAGAACCGAATATGGTATATGTGCTACTGGCTATGGCAGTAAGTTACCATTTTAGGGTTGATGAAAGTGGCTGAGCACCGAAATATGGTAGAAAAAATTTTTTGTTCTTGAATGTTGTGAAGATGGGCTGGTCTCTATCGAGCTTCTTGAAATAATCTTTGACTGTGGATTATGTATTCACACGATTTTTCCTGTTTCATGTGCTTTATAAGCCTTTCCCCGCCAACCAACCTTATTTTGCTTTCCTCTCATGGCTGGAAAAAAAACCTGAAAAACTAGAAGTGCTGGTAAGTGGAGGGGGGGGGGGGGAGAGAGCAAAGTTAGAACGAGATAGTTAGGCTAGGGAAAAGAGGACAACGGGAAAACATTCTGGGAGGGAGGGGGAGAAGGTTTACATCGCCTGTTCACACATCACGATGCTATACCCCACTCAGGACAGGTCTTGCATCTGGCGAAGATTTTTGCAAAATACCACCCCTCTCAAAAGGAAGGCCTCTGTCACAAACACCCTTTCCCATAATCCATGTTTTCCTACCACTTTTATCCAAAAAATTCTTCAGTTTCCCGGAATATTGCAGTCGAGAGGGCGCAGGGCACATTATTTGGGAATTTTGGTCGTCCGTGCGACCCCCTCCCCTTGGGTATTACGACCCCCCCCTTGGTTCCCTCCTTATCGAGCTGTCGACTGGGTGGAGGGGAATTAGCACATGTAAAACGGGAAAACCGCGAGGAAAATAAGACCTCCCCTGATAGCGTCCCTGAAACAAGAAAAATCAGCGGTCAAAAAAATTTTTCGGCCCAACTCGACCCCCTCCACATAGTTGGGTAATCCCCAACAACGATGTACCCTGAGGAGGCGAGGCGAGGGGGGGGAGGTTAGGCGTGAAACGGGAAAGGCCGACAAGAGATTAACAACTGGATTTCCATTGGAACATTTTCTCTAAGACAAATACAACTCCCCTCCCTCCACCCACCAAATACGACCCCATGGCTGGGAATTCCCAACGTAGGACGTGCCCTGCCCGACCCTTTCTGATGTCAATGAACAATGCGTCAGTACGAATTGGCATTACTATAAACGAAACCTCAAAATAATCAAATCAAAAATAACCTACATATTTTTGGAAAATGAAAAATTCAATTTAAACGAGTCAGCCACTTTCAAAACCCTGCACTAATCATAAGCCAAACAACTGTTATCAGGGAGAATGGAACGTCTTTATAGGCATAAGAGACCGAGCTAACTGACTATTTGAGCCTCATTCTTAAGCACAAGCGGCCATTTATTGATTGAGGTTGATGTCCAGCCAAGCGACACACCCATGTGGGAACGCTGCCTGTGCC